CAAACAACTGATCAGCTGTTTGTCGGCTCAGCGCGGCAGCCATGTAAATGTAAATGAAGCCGCGATCATTTAAATCGTGGCTTCATTTACCTTTGCTGAACAAACAAATCTACATGCCTCTGCCGACAGAGGCATGTAGTTTAGACGTACCCTAAAACTTTCATCAGTAGCACAATACATCTTCATTTACACTGGAAACAGGTGTGAAAAAAATCCACATGCATAATACTTAAGGGGACAATCACAACATCAGTCTATTGTAGGATATAATTTAACATTAACAAAGTATACATTTTCCTTGGGAAGAATTTGAAATTTATATAAATGATATATTTATGTTTCCTTATGAAGGCAAAAATTAACATTGACAATCTTGCTACTTATAGCAAATTTTACTTTTTGGATTAATGAATGCAAAAATGATAAAATCAAAGCTGTGTATAAAATAAAACTACATTAAAAATTCCCCCAAATGCTTTTCTGTGAGAGAAGAGAGACTGTTATTTAGAAAGCTACACTGAGACCTTTAACACATACCATAGTCTGATTATTCAGAACAATTCAATATAGGTTATTTAAGAGAACAAAAGGACAAACTTTGACTTTTTAAAGTCAATTCAACAAGAAATATTTTTCTTCAGCTTTACCACACTCAAAAAAGAATATTAGAAAAGACTTACCAGGGCCTCTGGTCTGGTCGTTGACCTGACCATAAAATTAGGATCAGGCTGCAGCATGACTGGCTTAGAGACTATAGATACCCCTGGCCGGCGCTGGGTAGGTGGGCTTGGAGCAAATTGCTATTGGGGTTCAATTTAAGAAAATTACAGATAATGCAATTTGTGCAAACCAATCATATTAGAGATACCACCATATGTATCACTTCATTGCTATGAATTTATTGCCACTAGTATCACAGAAAGCTGTCACAAGTATTTTATTAACTGATCTATAATGATAATAAGACAAAACACAATGTCATTCCTGGTGTATCTAAATAATTGAGTCTCTTCCTTAAACCATGACTTCAGATGGATGAAAGAAAATTTTATCCTTGCATTTAGCATTTATCCCATAGAGGCAGTGAACTGATTAATGAGCTAAAGAAGTTATGCTAAAAAACAATGAATATAATGAGACAGAGAACCTAAACTGGAATTGTGATACTGTTAAAGATACAGGAGTCAGGTAGCTCAACTGATTTTCTAAAGTGAAATTCACCAGACCTTTAATTTATTATTATTCTATTAGAACCATTTAAAATATCACTTATCTTGGGCTAAGATCAAGTTAGCCACAGTAATTAGTCCCTTTGTCCTATGAATTACTGTCCATACCCTGAAGCATTTCAGAGTTAATAATCTGACATATACAAATTACGTGCCTTATCCTACACTCCTTACTCCGGCAAAACTCCCACTGACGTCAATGAGAGTTTGGTCTGAATAGAGAGTTCAGGACTGAGCCCTCCGGGTTAGATTCTGACTCAGCTCCAACAACTCCCAGTACACTCTGGTTGACATTTCTCATAGGAAACATGATGGTATCACGTATGTAGTACAAGATGTTACTATGGAAATGATCTGAATAATTCCAATAACTTGGGTACACAATCTCATTTTTACAGTAAAAAAGAGTATTTTTTAGAATGCAGAGAAAAGTTTTGGAGCTATGTCACTAGGGAAGACACTAGGGAATTCCTTGGAGTAGTGAAGTGTTTACCAACACACAATCTTTTGCTAACATTGATTAAATGGTCTCATAAGAATCTGAGGGTACATAGAGATCAAATGTCTGTAGTTGGATCAAGCTGAGCAAAGAAACGTGTGTCCCAGCATCTGCCAGCTAGCACATACTGCTGTGGATAACATATGCATATGCCTATCTAGTGGACTAAATATATCAATAATGTTTCCTGTAGGTATATTAGAAGGGCCAATGCATCAGCTAGGTCTTCCCCCAAGCTCACTCCTGTGCATATATAGGGATCCTTGTCTTGTTCCACAGGAGGATGAAAAGGTTCTCCAACATCTTTTCCCATTCTACACATTCTCCACTCCGGTGCTATACAGTACATGGTTAAATCCATAACAGCCTTTAAAAATATAACCCAAGGGCTCCCCCCCCCCATATATCTGTCTGTCAAACTGGACGAGTGTTTTTTCAGCATTTATTCACTGCAACTAGCAACTATGTTTGCATTGCATCATGGAACATAGGGGACTTAACAGTTTGTGAAGCTATTATAGGAAGAAATTTAAAAATAGCTTCCACCAACATAATACTTGCATGCTACTGGAACTGGGAGTTATATCTTTTCTTAGGCTATGTCTACGCTGCGGGGATTTTCCGGGATTATCCCGGAAAACCCCCGCGGTGTCCAGGGAACACGTCTGCTCTTCTGCTTTTTTTCACGGAAGTACATTGAGGTGTACTGCATATCAACTAATCTTATTTCAGATGCGCAAATCAATTCATGTCACATCAGCAAACAAACAGTTGATAGCTAATAACAGTTGATAGCAAACGTGCTAGTTCGCGGAGCCCTGTATTCCTCGTTTCATGAGGAATAAGGGCTCCTCCAAAAGAGGAGACTTTCCCTCCATTTGGCCCTGTCTAGATGGGGCCAAATGGAGGAAAAGCCTCTTCCGGAAAAACAATTGGAAAAAGCTATGCAAATTGCCGAGCACAATTTGCGTAGCTTTTTCCAGTAAAACCTGATAGTGTAGACTCAGCCTTAGTGTGTATCTCTTCTAATATGACCCAATGTCTACATATACTTTCAGTAAAACTGTTTAAGACTGGTTATATTGACGTGTTTTTCAGCTTTTATGCTCTCCCAAATGGCAGTTAAAAAACATAGGCTTGTAATGATGTTGTAGGTCTCCCTGACAGAAATACGAATAGACGGTACATAGAATAAATATTGTACATGTAATATGCATGCTTCAAGCCTATATTTCTGACACTTTTGAAATGTGAAGACTCATTGTTGAGAAAGTCTTTTATACTCTTAGGACTTTGGTTTGCTAATTGGTACATGGAGGGTGATATTACCAAGTATCTTATACATGGAATGACTTGCCTTACACACCTCAATCTAAAGATATGATGGTCATTTTTCAAGAGGAGAAATCAGATCCTGCACCTATTTGAAATCACTCCCTTTTCAAATTCCTTGACATGGGATTATATTGGAAGTTCATAAAACTATAAATTATTAAAAGTTTATAACATACCAGTGGATTGCTTGATGCAGATGATATTTTGCCAACACGGGAGTTGTTTCTTAGACCCTAAATAATAATAGCTTCATTGAGGTATATTGCATATCTACTAATCTTACTTGTGATGCTCAAATCAATTCATGCCACATCAGCAAACAAACAGTTGATAGCTAATAATAGTTGACAAGTAATTTCACTCCTTCAGCACTGGCAAGCATCTGGCAGAACTTGCAATTAAATGGACATGGTGAAGAAAGTTATTGATGCTGAAAAGATTTAGAAATCTATTTGTATAAAATTTAAAAAGCCTGTTTAAGAGACCAGTATAATAAAACTTTGTTTTTTGTCAACTTTGGCTGGTCTAACAAACAAGATCTAGAATCTAAAATCAGATTTATTCAGTTGACTGGAAGTAACCTAAGACGCATCTACACTGCACCATTTTTCTGGAATAACAGAAAAACAATACTAGTGTCCACACTTCAATTCCATTATTTCGACAGAAAGTTGAAATAACGGACGGCTTTTTCCGACGGTGGTAAACCTCATTCCACAAGGAATAAGCCCTTTTCCAAAAAAGCTTTTTTGAAATAAGGTGTGTGTGTATACGCTCCACTGCTGCTATGTTGAAACAGCACCTCACCAGGGCCATTCTAAAGTTATTCCTCCCCAGTGGCTCCTGGGGCTCTAAGTCAAGATAGAGCATCCACATTATGGGAGCCTGCTTGGACTAATTTTGAGGCTTCACTGTAGTGTGGACGCTCTATTTCAAAATAAGCTTTTCCAGAAGGTATCTTCTGAAAAACTTATTCCGAAAGAAGCTTGCAGTGTAAATGTACCGCTAGTCAGGTTTAGCCCCCATAATATGCACTAAGCTATTTAAAAAGGAACAGGCACACCAGGCCACATTCTGAACTAAACTGGATCAAACCCAAGGACCATGTGTTCTACCATTATGTCTCTGATAGTGTCTAGTACTTAAGAAGAAGGTATTAAACCCATCTCAACAGGCAGAGTGGAATAGTCTATCCCTCTTTAGTAACTGAGACATACAGCTAGGCCAGAATTTGATGTGAAACTCTGATGATGATAAAACAAGGGGTTTACATACATACAGTAGCATAAGATTGGCTCAATATTAATATTTTATTAAGCGCTAAAATCTCTCATATCTACACTTCATTGAGTTTGATGGCAGCTGGTGTGTGCTTAACACTTTTGAAGATAAGGTAACTTATGGTGTGTCTACACAGTACCCTTTCCTGTACTGCAAATTGCATAGCTTATTTTGAGGCAACTTCAAAATAGCTTATTTCAAAATTTGGTGCTGTTTACATAGCGCCAAATTTAAAAATAAATCCCTATTCTGACAAGTCCCTTAACCCTTGTGGAATGAGGGCTACAGGGATGCTGGAATAGCGTGCCCGTTATTTCAAAATAATGGGCATCTTTAAAGATGAGGAATAGCTATTTTGGGATACTTCCAGTATCCTGAAATAGCGCTCCTGTCTAGATGTAGCCTTATTTAGATGCCTAATATGGATTTAGAAACCATCCCAGAATATTTAAGGGTTGTGACAGGTCATAAACCTTTATAAATGGGTCCTGAACCCAAAAAGTTTGAAAACCATGGATTTAGAACACATTGAGAAAATCTATCGTCCATAAAAAGGTATAGCTGCATTCTAATTCCAGAGAAACTAAAGTGTTTTTGAAATCTGACTTCAAGCCAAGTTTACTGACTCCCCTCCTTAATCAAAAAAGTATAATTCACTCTTCTAAAATGATCCTTTAAATAGAAATAATCTGAACATTTTTGCAGAGAATAAACGATTTTAGTCCTCTGCCCATGTGTCCTACTCCTACTCAGCTGCGATTCCCACAACATAGTATTATTATTATTCCAAATGATCTTGCAGAAAACCACAGCACACAATGCAATGAATCCATGCAGAAAAACATGCAAACTACCCAAAAGGTCACAGCTGAACTGTTTGAAACTAGTATAAAATATCTGCAGAAAGAGCTTTTATTACAAAGATTTGAGTATGTGCCAGACATGATAGTCCTTAATAAAGCAAAACACTGGCATGATTAAGTCACAGAAATATTTCTTCTGAATAATGGAATTAAATATATTAAATTTTTAAAATATTCAGTATAGAAGATCTTTTTGTGGAATATATCTATTGAGTTTGTAATAAGGGACAATTAGTGTATTTTCCTGGAAAACTAATTAATAAAAAGAGACAGTCCTCAGATTTGGAGTGAGAACTTTTAGGCTTGTTCCCATAAAATGATTACTATTGGTGATCAGTTAAGAGTTCAAATTTCTGAATACTGTACTGGACTTCAACCTAGTGTTTTCCGTCCTCTACTTTCATTGAGCAAAACAATTCAGGATCAAATTTAAGTCATGTTTTTTTTTTCTGTGCAGATAGAGTTAAATAGGTCACATGATTTCTATATGGTAATATTGGCCAAGTACAAAATATGCTATTTACGAATGCATTCCACACAAGATATTTGCATGCAGAAGATCTGGAACATCATGCACAGCAAACACACAAGTTGTATTCTCCACCTGCTATTGGTATACATCACTAATAAGAATGTTGTATGTTCAATGAGAGGAGAATGCAATACATTTATACCTTTGGACTTGATAAATAGGTGTGGTCATTATTCTGAGAGCTAATGGGTCCAAAAGTAGATCTTCCTCTGTAATTTTTTGTTTCCCAGCCATGTAAGGACTCTGTAGGGCCAGAAGAATGGTAACACTGGATTCCCACTCTTTCTTCTAAGAGCATGGGTGGTACACAGAGAGATCCAGTGGGTTGACTGGGTAAGGAGGCAGGGAGAGGAGGTGCAGGAGGATGCATCCCAGTGGATGATGATAAAGTCACCCGTGAACCTGAAGAAGCTGTGGGGGCTGGACATCTTGAAGATGGAACATGTGGTGAAGAAAGTGGGTGAGCTGCTGACGTTGCAGAAGTTGCGTGAGGTGGTGGAGGGAGAGGTGCTATGCGTTTTGTAGGCTTATCAACATCATCCAGGTTAATATCATCAAGGTCTGTGGTGTGAAGCTGCAGACCACCTGCAAACCTCCTCATCGATGTAGCAGAAGGAGAAGCAGAAGTTCGTCCACTAGCCAACTAACATAATGACAACAGAGATCTGCCTTAACTGTGCACCTATCTGTAAGGGACCCGAACAAACTAAAGGCAAGTAACACAACACTACAAGCTATAATTAATGTAGTACTGTAAGGTCTTGGGTTCCTATTAAAAAAACCCATATTCACAACTTTTTCCTGGAGCCCTTTTGTGCACAAAAAGCACTTACCCTTGCTTTTTAAAAATAAAATTAATAGAAATACAGTATTTAATTGCTGGGCTGGGGATATAAAAAAACAGACAAAAAGCAAAACAAATGGAAAACAAGAAATACTCATTGCAAAAGTGGTTTGTGTAAAAGGACAGCACTTTACACGCAGCTCCCAAAATACTAAAAAATTATTTAAGCAGTTTTGCAGATTGGGGAGAAAACATGAATCCGGAGTAAAGGTTGCAAATAAACAGCATTGAAGTTTAAAGAGGGAAAAAATAGAGTGCTAAGGAATTCAGAGATCAAGTACCCCAGCCAACCTAACAACGGCCAGACTCCCGAGTGTTTGATAAGCAGTTCTGGGAGTACATCCACTTGGACAGCGTATGTGATGATGGTGGTGTTGGATGTGCCGGTGAGTGGAAGCTGGATGTGCAATGGCGGGGCACACATGTGGGAGGCAGGGGAGTGTGCGATTTAGTTTCTAGGAGTTTAGTGTTCAAGCACATCTCCACAGAGCTTAGAGTAGACAATGCAGGTAACCCAAGCAGAGCTTGAATCCTTGCTGGGCTTAGGAATTCCATAGGAGACAAGACAGGAACTAGATCCTCCGCACAAGGGAGTACATGAATCCAGATTTGGGGGAGCGGAGAAGGGATTTTATATGAATGTGGTCTAAATGTCCCTGGTAGTCATTTGTCATGGATCATGTTAAAATGTTTGTAAAAGTAAATTCAATCAGTATTTTTGTATCCACTATTTTGTCCACTCTCCAGAGGAACAATTAAGGAGGCTTGAGTTACCCCTATCAAAACCAAAATATTTATTCCAGTCTTGTTTGATCTGATTTTTATAGCTGAATTATCCATAATGAGACTGAACTAAATCTCATGGTATCAATGAGTAGCTTTACCACCTAAGAAAAGACATCTCATTGGCTGCTCTCTAACCCTTGGAAACTGCTGCCAATTTTACGGATATAATAATAACACATAAAAGTACAAGGCTGTAAATAGCTCAGACAGGTTAATCCCTCAGAATCAACCTGTCCTCTTGATTTATAGTAGTTTATCTCCTCAAGTAGTTTTATAATAATAAAGTAATTAGTGGCAGCATAAATACAGCAGTGAGCTAGTAAACAGTTCTGAGCAGCATCACTCTGAATATATGTCTAAGAGTTTGGCCGTAGTATCTTCATTTCCACCACTGAAAGTGTGATCCACCAGACTGCAGCTAGTGAGTGCACATGGTGTGAGGAATCTCTGCAGAAACATATCCCTCTCCTCAAGTAACTCTTCCATTGGAGAGTCATCTGGCTTTGGGCACAGGGCCAGGAGGAGCAGAGGACCATCTGCTTTCTGCTGATGCTAAAAATTATCCAAGAAGGAGATCACCATGGGTCCCCTCTGCAGCTGCTATTGTTCATTCCCAAGTGAATTCAGGGAGCTGCATTCCTCGAAACAGCTGTACTCGGAGAGGAGCCAGAACAGCAGGAGGGTGGGAAAATCTCTCTGGATTTATAAGGCCACAAACCTTCCTCTGTGTGCTCCCTTTCTTCAATGTCCTCCCTTTGAGGGGAGGATGTGAATGTTTATTAAGTAACTCTTGTAGAGTTCCCTCAGCTTTTGTCCCCTTCTCCTGCATATTGTCAAGTGAAGACATGATTTGGCCCTTTGTTATTCCTCTTTGTAGCATAGTTCTGGGATGTATTCAAGATCTTGAATAGCAGTGATTCCATCCTGAAATGCTCTTGCCTGGAAGGCACCATTATTACGGGTGGTAAAGTCTCCATAGCCTCCAGTTTTAATATGGCTAACAAAAGCCATTCTAGCCGATCTTGCAGGGTCAGCTAAGAGAATACAGAACTGTCAGGTGGTCATGCTGCTTTTCAGGGCATATTATGTGGTCACGTTAGCCAATGGTAATGCATTTCCCAAACAAGATAGCGCCCTAAAAATGTGCAGAATGTCAAATGCAAAATACCATTAATCTTAAAGGTTGAAAAAGGGAAGAATGGGACAGGTTCTTCTCGTTCACACCCAATAAAACTCCCTGCCTGCATATAAAACATGCAAAAGTCATTTACAGATCACAGTTGAGTGGAAAGAGAAGCAAGAGTTTTCTTTTACCTCAGGAGAATCATTCTCCACAGAGGAGATCTGCTCTAACCGTGTCTGACAAAGTCTTTCCACCCAGTGCTGAACCTTTTCTGATTCCTCCAAGTCTTCTCGCTCTGTCTCAGATACCTTAGCCATATGGCCATGGCATAGAAAAAAGGGTAACGAGGTTACACCACATACAAAATTAGAAGATATAAAATGTATTTAACTTTAAAATACTTTCTGCAAAAAACAATTATGTTCTCATGAGTCATTTTCTATTTAACTGCCTTCCATTAGGCCGATCCTTGAAAGCTCCTAAATATCCCACCTGAGTAGTCTTTAAACCAGTAGGACTACCCATCTGAGGAAGAGCTGCTCTTGTGAATAAGGAAACTCAGAGTAGGGTTCTCTGTTATCCTTTAGCAACAGACTAGTGTATATTTTGCTATCTTGTGTTATTTAAGCATTTAACACATTGGAATAAACTCTCTATTAGCCTAACCCCATTGAATCCAAGAGCACTATACCACCAAATAATTTGTCCCTTTGTCCTTTCGACATGCAAAGAGTTAATAACATTTCTCCAAAATACTCCCCCTCCAACATTTCCTTTTATTTTAGTTTGTTTCTCATGTTTACGGACGCTTGTTTGAAAAGATCTCAGCCCCATTTTAATTTTACACCCAACATAGTACAGTACTATGTTTCGTCGCCTCAATTATTTAAATATTTTCTTTATTTGCACAAGTCATGTTTTTTCTTTTATTTTTAGTAATTCTTTATTTTCTATGTCTTGCACTGAATTTCTGCTCTACAAATATTATTTTTGCAAATAATTTGGGGTTTTTTTGGTAATAAAAATATGAATAAGGAAAAAGGTGGGCACTGATCTCAACATAAATTTAGTATGCTTCACATGTTACCAGGTATATCTATAATCTGTTATTTTAAATAACCCATGAGATACCACTGTCCACAGACAAGGCAAGGGCCTACCCCAGCAATGTACTTATGGTACCATAAATTTTAAGTCAATGAGACTACACGTTTATTCTTAGACACGTGCTCAAATTCCTCACAGAACTGTGTCCCAGACACGCTTTATTAGAGTCTTGCCTGCAGAAGGAAACTATGATGAAATAGAGGAAAATCATAAGAAGAAAAATAATCCAATGCTTATCACAACATACCTCTTGTACAAGCCGGTTGATTTTCAGCTGTTTTTCTTTTTCTAACATCTCTTCTTTTTCTTTGGCAAGTTTTTGCTCAAACTCCAGTTCCTTTTTACACTTCTTCTGTTCACACAGGCTGTCACTCTTCATTTAAGATAGTAGTGTGCATGTTTTACATTGGCTAAACACACTGCAAAACTCTGAACTTGATTGAGCCTTTAGACACATGAAAACTTGCCCTGAAAAATTAGCTGCTGGCTCCATGTATATAAAGGTGGTGGCTATTTTTAAAACAATTCATCAGCCCTCGTCATTTTGTCTGAAATTTGTTCTTATGCAGAAGGCAAACAGGATGCCTACACATCATTTAAGGATCATACAATGTTGGCACTGTTAAATACTTTCCCCCTCTCTTATGAAATTTCACCGTATAGGTATGCTGAACTTATAAGTAAGAGTTACAACATTCATAGTCTAACACAAAGACTTCATTTCTCACCCTTCTGTTTGTCATTAATTGCATCTTAAAATGATGGTTTTAACATAAGTGCCCATGTATTCACACATAGAAGTAAATCTTTCCCTTTTTGCAAAACACATCCAAAACACTGCATAACATGCATTAGGAAAGACAGAATTAGCAATTGCAAAGAAAAGGCTTTTAGATCAGTGCATCTAAACTGCACCAACGCAGCATACTAAGGAGATGGCGTGTCTGAATTTTAGAGATGGCCAACAGGCATCTAGGGCTGTTAGACGTAGTCACGCGCATGACCACTTAAAGATGTGCTAACACTGTACAAAGCAGTCATAAAAGTTACATGTAGGAGCTTTTGTTTTTTCTTTACAACTATGCAACTAAGGACCCTAATTACAGTGACCGTCACCCTGAAGCCAAGCAGTCGGAGAAGGAGGATAGCCTGCGTACTCCAGTTTCCCCATGCCCAAAACCCAGTGAAGAGGAGCTGACTGGTTTTGTAAAGACTGCCAGTGCAGTGAGAGGCTGAGCTCCAGCCCTGGTTGTTAGAGGACACACAGCACACTGAAAAAGGAGTTTTAGCTGTTCCTCTTTTCCACCAATGGCTCTTCATTCTGGCTTGGTGAATCCAGGGCACAGTGACAACCATGGTACAATCATTTTCTGCATAACAGGATTATTTATCAGCCCAGCAATATTGGAGTGAAACGTAGCAACTCACAGACAGACAGACATTTCTTGCTGGTAAAAAATATCTGCCCTGCCATGCTAGTGATTAGAACTTTGCAGTGTTGCAATCAGTGAGGTTGTATTACATCTGCTTCACAATTATTTGGCTATTATTGCCAAAATTAACCCTAGGAGATAGAATGACTATGCTGTGATTTCATAGCATCAAACACCTAATTTCTATTGCCTATGCTTTAGCCTTGGGGCTTAGTTTGCATTACAAACATTTTTATGTTTTATTTAGGGCTAGTTACTGTTTACATCCCATTCATTTGGGACATTACTTCATTCTTTACGAAGAAAGATAAATATAGGCAAGTTCTTGTGATAAATGCTAACGTTTTATAACTGTAGATGAAGACTCATACTGAGCACTCTGGATAATAGTGCTGTAGAATAGCAATATGTTCCCATTAATTTTAGCTGAATGCATTTACCTATAGCTCACATCAAATTCCACAGGGCCTGAGTCATCCCTTCCACATATCACTTTTTAATGGAGTCATAATTCACTCTTTGCAATTTGCTCCATACTAAAAATGTTTTTAATAGGAAGTTAATTTCTTTTTTAAAAACTGGTGTGTTGTTTTTGTGTGGGCTGAACTATTTTAAATAAATAAAAATGGTTTAAATTAAAAACAAAATTTTCCAAGCATTTAGTTTATAGTGTCCATAGATTTTAATGGTAGTTGTATTAGCCCTTTAATATCTTCAAGTGCTTTTAGAACTTCTAAGCATGTAGAGGTGAAAAGCATCTAATTATACAAAATAACCAATTTGCACTTCTATCACACAGACACTTACATTTTCCAACATATAATCTACTGTATGAATGTTGGCTAGAGCAGAGATACAGTCCTGAGTTCACATGGTGCTTAGCACAGAGAAATCAATGTTAACCAACAATGCAAAGTGGTATCTGAGATGTTGTGAACATTTCCTGTCCTATTCATAGAGAAATAATTGTGCCCCAGGGGAAATGATGACCCTTTAAATGGTGACTGTGATGGATAAAGCTGATAAGTCCAGGCTGTGATCCTGACTTTCTTGCACTCCCCAAAGTCTAAATGAATGGATATACAAGTAATGCAGGATCTAGTTCAGACTCTACCATTAAGTCCCTAATTGGTTTTGATCATCAACCTGGTAGACATCTGTAACATAACATTCATAATAGTAGCAAAAGATACTGAAAAAGAAAAGAAGAATGTACCAGAAAGAATAGAATATTATTTGAAACACCCACTGTGTGCTTTAGAGATTATACTTAAAATAGACTATCTTGTTTACCAAATTTTAAAAGTCCATTTTGATTGTTTTCTTTCATTATGCATCAAACTCATTTCTGTTCAAAGGCCTATTCACCACATAAACCTGCACTTCCTGGTAAATTTTCAAAGGCACAAATGGAAGGTAGGCTTCGATTCCCATTGATATTTTGCCTCTGAAAATCTCCCTTTTAAGCACTATTTCAAAGGCTTATGAAGAGCATAAGATTTGCTAAAGGGAGCACCCCATTTGTCCGGTATTCCCATGTGTTGAACACCTCTTGAAATGTACAGCTAGCTATCAATTCCCACTGCCATCAGTGGAAATTGAGAGCACTTAGTACTTCAAAGATCTAACCCTCCAGATGCACTCCAAAGAAACCTGATTGCACATATTAGAGGAGAAAGCATTTGAATCCATGGGAAGTAAGATAGTCAGTCATGTATTGTCATGCTTAGAAATAAATGTACATTACTATACAAATTATTTTAAAAAATACAGAGGAGAGAAAGGAGTGATTTCACATGCAAAACCCACAGCAAATTTTCATTTATATCTACACACTCAGTACCTTGCGAATTGTGGGAAATTTCCCTTCATACCGATAAAACCATCCAAAAGCTATAAAAAAAAGCAAAGGAAAAATATTTGCTGGAGAAAAATCTAACTGATCAACCCAGGTCCACACACAATTAGTTACAAGATATTTGAAGGCAAAATGATGATGGTATTAAATGTATGCATTGTGGTATTGTATTAAATGATAGGTCCTTTATCAGATTCAATCAAAAAGCAACATCTATACATTTAATGACATATTTACCTTATTGACACACTTTTTATGTGTAACAGATGCAACAACCAACGGTCACAAAAAAATTTTACAGTCCTTTTCACTCTTTTTAGAAGCAAGTTTTCATACCTATTGCTTTATATTAATTGTAACAATTCATTAGCAATAATATATTGAATGAAAATAATTCAGTGATCCACACACATCCAACCTTGGCACAATTAAGGAAACAACAAAACCTTTCATTTCCTTTATGAAATACTTTTCTTCTTAAAATTTTTTTTCTTAAAGCCAAGTTCATAAAGTTCAGAAACATACTGTAGGATAATATAAAGGATATTCAGTAACTCTATTACTTATATACACACACATCAGTTGATGATACAAGAGTTCATATCATCCACATTTTTATAGGATGCAACACTAGCAATATATATTCTGAGCTCTGTGCTAGCATTTACCATCCAACAGACTGTGGGCCTTGCCCTAGCAACTGAGAACAGCAAGAATAAAAAGTGTTCAGTCTAGTGTCAGGCCTGGCTATCAGGAGGAAACAAAATGTAGGAAGAGTCTGAATCAGGATAGGAAGGCAAGGCTGAGGAGCAAACCTGTTTGTTCTGCTTTGTGAGCCCTCCATCCATGTCATCAGCTTCAAGTTGGTCATGGGCAACTCCCTTTAAATCTACTAAAGAAACAAAGGAGGAAGGAAATGAGGAGATAGAAGTGATAGCGTAAACTGAGGATTCCATGAGGTAAAAAGGGGAACCACACTGAGATCTGTAATATTATGAAAAAACAATTCCCAATTTACCCTGAAGGAAACAAGGTCTTCCCCACTGACTAGGACGGAACCAGTCACTTACTTTTGTGTTTAGGAGCAGGGGCTGGATGTACTTCCGCAGTTACTGTTTTTACAGACTTAGGTGGCTCTTTTGGTCTCCAATCTTCTTCCCATTCCTTTTTAAATTTCTCTTCCTCCGCTGTTATCCTAAATAAATATAGAAAAAAGTATTTCTCAAAATACTCACTCAAAAATATAACTTATGTAAAATGACAAATTATTTATTTTTCTTAATTTCCAAGCAGAGGTGTGTGAACGATGCCAGTAAAACGGAATTGGAAGCGTTAAATGAGGATGTACAGGGGAGGCTCCCATCTAACCTGAGCAAGGGTCAGAACTAACCTTGCTATACATTGGGTGCCTCGAGACAAAAAATATCTAGATTGATGATGGAGAATTTAACACAGTATATGGCCACTGCTGCTGCTATTAGCATTCCGTGTCAAATAAACAATGTTAGGAACCACATTTTCCAGAGCAATTAAAAGACATGAATCATAAGGATTTAATTTTCTTTCTGTTTATGAAACAATTTTTGCTCCATCACGGGGACCACAGTTTTAGCTGAGTAACCCTCTAATCCTCTTGATATGACTCTTTCCATCCTCCTGCTCTCTACTGTTTTATCAACTCTGTCTTGTTGAATCACAGGGGCCATTAGCCTGTAAAATCACAGAGATGACAGCAGATACTAACGTAAGTCATCGTGACAGTGAGGCAGACAGGCTGACTTTGGAAAAGGAGTTTTTCGTTTGCTCGTGCAGCATCCTTCCCTGTTATTGCGGCAATATGTTCAATAGAGTACAACAAATTGAGAATGCCCCATCTCTCCAGGAATGAGAATGGGAAAACATTATAGATGGAAGTCATCCCTGTGCTAACACAGAATCCAGTATGGGAATGGCTGGTGTGTGTATGGTGTGCATTTTGGTACCCCAGTCCTGAGGTTGCCAGAAGCTGCTCTGATTCCCCATGAGCCATGCAGCAGCTGCAGAAATGTACTTTGTTCCACATCCAACATGCCATGACTGATTCAGAGAGTCCTGTGATGCCCTGTCCATTCTGGAAGATTCCATCCTTTAATGTAGGTAGGTCAAAAGAAGTCTAAGAAGATGATGCATGTGGAAAGTGGTTTAATGTGACAGAACAAAGGTGTCTGAATATTTCAGAATAAATTAGAGTTACAGAAAAGCTGCATCAGAACAAATATGGAATATGAAACCTCCAACCCTAATTTAGCAATTTCATATCAACTGTCATATAATTTATTAACTTTCTCTTCTGAACAATTTTGGTAAGGAACATGAAACAGTGAACCACATGATGACTCTTTGGACTTTCCCCCCTCCAGTTCTAAATGTACAATATTTAAATTACATTTATAGTTATGTCCAACTAGCTCTTTAGCACTGTTAATGGATGGTTTGCCAGAAAGCCTGGTTATTTCATACATTTTAAGTCCTGAGGGGAACATTATAATAATCTATTCTGGCCTCTTGCATAATGCAAACCATAGGACTTAAATTAATTCCTGCTTCAAGTCCAAGAGTTGTGGTTTGTAATTACAGAACATCTCTTTTAGAAAAGCATCTGCTCTTGATTTACAAATTTCCAGTGATGAAGGAGCCATCACAGTCCTTGATATGTTGCTGCAATCGTTAATTACCTTCATGGTTATAAATGTGCACCTTATTTCTAGTCTATATGTGTCTAGATTCAATTTCTAGCCATTTAATCTAGTTATAGTTTTGTCTGCTAGGACAATGAGCCTTCTATCATCAAATTTTTGTTTGCCATGCAGTTCCTTATAAACTGACCAGTCACTTTTCTTTTGATAGTCTAAATCTTTCTTTTGATAATCTAAATATGTTCAGTCTCTCATTATAAGGCATATTTTCTCTTCCTATAATCATTCATATCTCTTCTCTGAATCCCCCCCCCCTATTTTTCAATATCCTCCTTGAAGTGCGGACACTAGAACTAGACACAGTATACTACTAACAGTTGCACCAATACCATATACAGAGGTAATTTCCCTCCTCCTAGTGATAGCCCCGTTTACATCCAAAGATCACATTAGCCCTCTTACCTACAGCATTGTTTAGCTGCAAGCTCAGATCCATCTCGTTATCCCCTAACCCCCAAGTCTTTTTCAGTCACTGCTTTCTAGGATAAAGTTTCCCATGCTGTAAGGCAGGCCTAACGTTCTTTGTCCCTAGATGTACAACCTTACCTTAGTCTATACTGAATCCTACATATCTAGATTGTGCTCAGATTCCCAAGTGTTCCCATTGCTCAGTGATCTGATCTCTTGTTATTTACTCCCGCCCCCCCAATCTCTGTGTCGTTTGTGAGTTTTACTACAGGGTTGAACCTCTGTGGTCTTTGATTCTCTGCTCCTCCAACATCTGTGGTCCAGCAAGACCACAGATGTTGCTGGACTAAAGTGCCCCAGCACAGAGGTTGCCAGAAGCTGGGAGCAGAGCTGGATGGTGGGGCCAGTGGGGCCCACAGGGTACTAGAGCTTGAGGCTGACTATGCTGAGAAGCTGGAGGGGGAGCTTGCAGCTGGCTGGGCTACTGGAGTCCATGGCGGGGGGGGGGGGGGAGAAAGGGGGTGAGCTGAGCTTATAGCCTGTGAGGCAGGAAGTGGGGGCTACAGAGTCCACAGCTGGTGGAGCTGCGAGAACCCACAGGGCTGCCACAACCAGGGGGATGAGGACAGTGGTGTCCAGTAGCTGGGTAGAGGAGCCCAGTGCCGAGGCTGGTGTCATCCATGCACATCAAACTTTCCCTGGTCCAGAAAACTCCCTTGTCCAGGACCAGGGAAGTCCAACCCAAGGGAGCCAGACCAGGGAAGTCCAACCTGTAGTAATAAAGTTATATTTTCTTTCAGACCACTGATAAAAATGTTAAATAGCATAAAACCAAGAAGTGACTCACTCGGGCCTCTCTAGAAACACACCTGCTTGATGATTCCCTATTTACAATTATATTTTCAGACTTCTCAGGGAATCAGTATTTAATTCATCCAATATATGCCATGTTGATTTTATATCAATCTAGTTTCTTAATCAAAATATCATCTGGTATTCAGTCAAATGCCTTACAAAGGTCTAAATATATTCCATTAACGCTGTCATTTTTGCCAACCAAATTTTTAATCTCCTCAAAAACAAGGTCTTTTTTACAAATCAAATCAGTGTTGGCGTTAGTTATATACCATCCTTTAACTTTGTATGAATCAAATTCTGTGTCAGCCACTCTATTGTTTTGCACTGGATGGAAGTCAACTTGATAAGACAATAGTTTCTCAGATCACCCCATTCAACTATTTATATATACTGACACCCCAATAGATATCTTTGAGACCTCTGGAACTTCCTCACTGCTTCAAGATTTACTAAAAGTCATAAGCCCACTCCAAAGTGTCTCTTGGCCAGCACTTTTAAAAGTCTTGGATACAAGTTATCCAGAAGTACTTTAGCAGCTGATGTCTAGCATCCTTCTTAGTCACTTTAAAATGGAGACTATTTTGTACTCTACTACCTGCTCCTCAGACATGAATACATCATTAACCTACTTTTTTAATATACAAAACAGAAATATTTACAGAAATTTCTGCCTTTTTGCATTATTATTGACAATTCTGCCATTTACATCTAATAGATCAACATCATTGCTAGAGTTCATTTCATTCTTGTTGTCCTTAACTCTGCTAGCCATGGATTTTTCTTTGAGTTCTTTTGATTCCCTTACCAATTTCCCACTATTTCTAGCTTCTGACTTATTGTATTCAGCTTCCTCTTTCTCTTCCACCCATGTGTTATAGAGTACCTTTTAATTTTTATTGCTGCTTTCAACTATTCAGGCTGTTTTTCTAACCCATGTAACCTTCTCTCTCAGTTGTGGGTTTTTGAGCATGTAATAAAATGTTTTAACACAGTTCTAATGATCATTTACATTTCTGTAATTAAGTTTTTTCTCCCAGCTGCTGTGGCTCATAGCTATTTTCAGCTTTGTAAAACAGGCTCTGATAAAAGAATCCATTACATAATATTACTGCTTTGGACTCTATTGTTTGCATACAACTAATACAAGCCAGTCATGATCACAGGTAAAAGTTGGACCTCTATAGCCAAGAGTTCCTTTATCTGACAACATCTATGGTCCAGCATCCTTATGGGTGCTCCTAAGCTGGAGCACTGACAGGAGAAAGCTGGCCCTGTGCTCAGCAACTCCTCTCCGGCACTCCACTTTATGGAGTACCACAAATAGCTCATTTCTGGCATTTGAGCTCAGGAAGGAAGATAGGACTGGGGCGGAGAGGGGGTGTGGGCGTTTGGGAAGAGGAAGGGTGGCTGTGGAGCTGCAGAGTTGGAGACCAGGAGTGCAACCAATCTGCTTCTTCCTCTGAGTGCACTCTCATCCCCTCAATGCCAACCTCTGCTGGAAAGGAGCCACACAGCCAGCAGCAGAAGAGGGACCAGCACTGACCTCCCCTGGTCCAGCAAATTCCCTTGTTCAGGACTGGTAAGATCCTGAGGATGCCAGATCAGGAAGGCACAACCTGTACCTTGCCAACCACTAACTTTTAGTGCTGTGATCATTTCCTCTTTATCTACTAAGGTGAGCTCTAATAGAGAATTATCCGGTGTTGGATGCAACACTTCTAGGAAACTGTCATCAACAATTTTGAGAAATCACAAGGATGTTGCAGAATTGTCAGAGATTTCCAAGATATGTCAGCCAGACAGAAGGAACATTTTTTATCAACTATATTTGTAATTATTAATAGCTGCTTAAAACAGCACCCTCAGGATATGTCTACATTGCAACCCTATTTCAAACTACAGTAGACTTCCGATAATCCAGCACCTTTTGGACCTAGGTGTGCCGGATTATCAGATTTGCCGGAGAATCAGGAGGTCCGGTACAGCTGCACGGTTTAACAGCTGGCCAGGACACAATCTCCCTCCCTCTCCCCTCCCCTTTCCTCTTCCCGTCTCCTCCGTGCTGTAACCTGATCCTCCTCCCCCTCTCCTCCCCTCCCCTTTCCCCTTCGCTGAAGCAAAACGCTCTTCTCCATATTGTAACACGATCCCACTCCCCCACCCCCAACCTTATGCTCCATCTGGTTACAGCCAGCATGTGTGCTGAGCGGCAGGCTTTTTAAACAGCTGGTCAGGGGCGCTTGGCATTTTGATGCCGGAGTATCGGGAGTGCCGAACAGTTGGATGCCAGACTATCGGAGTTTTACTGTAACTAGCGCTACTCTCAAAAAACTTAGTCCGTGTCCACACAGCAGGTAGCTATTTCAAAATAGTGTCAAAATACTGTCAAGCTGGAGGACTTCTTACTTCCTCATTGTATGAGGAATAAGGGAAGTCAGAGGACGAGTGCTCTATTTTTGAAATAAATTCTGTGTAGACGCTCCCTATTTCAAAATAAGCTATTTCAAAATTGACGTAGCTCAATTTGTGTAACTTATTTTGATTTAAGCCCTGCAGTGTAGATGCACCTTTATAGTCCTGAAGGTAAATTTCATTCTGGTATAAAAGGTATCTATTAGAGCAAATAAAGAAAGGTTGATCTTTTTTAACTTTGCCCATCTTTTCCTTGAAAATGAAAAATTGTTTCCTTTTCATCAACATTTTTTCTATAAAGGTCTGGTTTGTGGAAAATTGAAATATTTTAGATGCTTGGGCAAAAATACAAAGTTTTAACTGAACTTTTTCACCTGACTGTTCAATTTTTTTGTTTTCAGTCACTCAAATCTTGAAAAAAATCAATTTTCATTGAATCCTAATTTTTTCATTGAAAACAGGCATTTCCTGTGAAAAATTCCATTTTGATAAAACTGCCCATTTTCTGCTGGGGAGAAACTTGGCCAATTTTTTTTGAAAAGCTCTGGAATTTAACTTCTCTTCACATGTGTTGTTATACAACATATACAGCATAGGAGGAAAATGATTACGTACTGTTCAATTTCTTTACGGTATCTTTCTTCTTCTTCTGCAGCCTTTTGAGAAATCTCCAGTTTCCTTCTATAATATAAAGCAAATTGAATTTAGAGAAAAAAAAGTTGTCATGCAGATACTAGTGTAAAATAAAATATATATGAGAGATAGAACCAATATGCACTGGGAGAATCTGAAACATGAATTTCCAAAGGTTAAAAAAGGAGTCTTCAAGATTCCCAGCCCTAATCACAACTGCTCAATGATTTCCTATGGTTTCCATAGGGCAACACATCATATCATTTCTCTAAATTCAGAAGCCATGTTGACCCTTGAAGATAACTTCTTAGTGCATTCTGTAATGGTCCAACCATCCTCTCTGTGATGGGATGGAGTCTGACCGCCCAGCAGAGTGACAACTAGGCACTGGGCGATGTTATTGTGGTAACGGGGCTCACTGATGTCCCACTTCAAGTGTGGAGGAATAGTTTCTGCCCAGCTAACTGAAATCCAGGGAAACTGAATGGCCCACGAGGCCCAAGTGATGGCTCTGAAGTGTAGGTACAGATTGAATTCACATAGCCACTTTGCTAAAGAAAAGGACACGCTCACAGACTATATACTTTGCCACAAAATTAAAGTGAGAGAAAGATGAGAAGAGATTTTCAAGGAAAATACATGAAAATATAACATCCATATAATGAATGTAAAATTAAAATAAAATTAATGGAGATTGCAGACCTAGAAAGAGAGTGGTTAACCCGGGGGGACTGGAGCAGCCTCTGCAGTGGGACCCCCCCAGCCACTCTGCACTCTTGAAGTTTCCTAGGTAAACATGCACAACTGGAAGTGGAGAGGACTCATCTGTCTCTAGTCAATAGGAAAAAGGCCCATTACAAAAGTTAATCAGTTAAATGATATAACTTTAATTGTTTGAGTGGTTAACCAGGGGGGACTGGAGCAGCCTCTGCAGTGGGACCCCCCCAGCCACTCTGCACTCTTGAAGTTTCCTAGGTAAACATGCACAACTGGAAGTGGAGAGGACTCATCTGTCTCTAGTCAATAGGAAAAAGGTGACGGATGACACAAGGTATGGAAAGAGACCAACAGGCGGCATAGACCCTAGGACTCCACACCCTTCTAAGACCTTGTCTATACTTATGCGGAGATTGATACTCCGGAGATCAATCTTCCAGGGTTTGATTTAGCAGGTCTAGTAAGGAGCAGGCATGTAAAATCCCATGTAATCAGTTAACCAGTTCAATGTTATGTTTAACGGTTAACTGCTTAAACAGGGGTGGGGAGGGCCCGGCCAGGGGCTGCTCCTGCTGGGCTGGTGCGACTTCGCCAACAGTATTCCTCACCTACAGCGCAGTGCATTGGGCCCAGCCAGGCTGCCAGGTAACCACCGGTGATGCTTACTGGTTAACCACTGAAATCCCTAGTAAGGGCCTGTTAAATTGAATGCTGAGGGCACCCGCAGCAACCCCTGTACTATAGCTGACGGGAGTTTCTGCACCCTATAAATTCAGTTTAAAGAACATGGGCTCCAGCTACTCAATTCTCATAGCTGGAGCTGCATATCTTAAATTAAATTTCTCAGCGTGCAGTGAGACTCTGGTCACATGCCAAGTGCAGATTTATTGTGTCTTGAAATCCCACTATTTTTATTAACTTTGCTATGCTTAATTTACAGCTTGTGCTGTTGAGAGCACATTAGAAACAGTGTCCAAATTAGAAGAATTTGAACAGAGCAGGTGAAAAATTAGAAAGTACAAGTTTTTGCAAAAAAAGACAAACAAGGAAGGAAGGAAAGAATGTAACCTGTGCTTTTATTTCATTGGGAAGAGCAAATGAAAGGAAAGAAGGTAGTCCAGGAGTACACATGTTCTTCCCACTCTCCTGGGCCTGAGTGGAAAAAGACAGAAGACTCGAAGGCTACGTCTACACGGGCATGATTTTCCGAAAATGCTTTTAACGGAAAAATTTTCCATTAAAAGCATTTTTGGAAAAGAGCGTCTAGATTGGCAGGACACTGTTCCGCAAAAGCACTTTTTGCGGAAAAGCGTCCGTGGCCAATCTAGATGCGCTTTTCCACAAAAAAGCCCCTATCACCATTTTTGCGATCAGGGCTTTTTTGCGGAAAACAGTACTGTGCTGTCTACACTGGCCCTTTTGCGCAAAAGTCTTTCAGAAAAAGACTTTTGCCCGAATGGGAGCAGCATAGTATTTCCGGAAAAGCACTGACGATCTTACATGAGAACGTCAGTGCTTTTCCGGAAATTCAAGCGGCCAGTGTAGACAGTTGGCAAGTTTTTCCGGAAAAGCGGCTGATTTTCCGGAAAAACTGGCCAGTCTAGACACAGCCGAAGGGTATGTCTACACTGCAACAGAAGCCCTATGACACAGCTGTAGCTAATTTGTATCAGCTGACTGTCTTGCAAGGCTCAGGCTATAAAACTGCAATGTAGATGTTTGGGCTCAGAGACCCTCTCTTTTCACAGGAGAGGTCTTGAGCCTGAGCCTGAATGTCTACCTTGCTGTTTTTAGTCCCGCCTCCCAAGCCTGGCAAATCCAAGTCAGCTAACCCAGGCTCTGAGACTCAGTGCTGTGGGGTTTTTTATTGCAGTGTAGACCTACTCTAAAATAACAGGAGTTAGCAGGATATGATATTTCACATTTCAGGAACAAAGTAGAGGAGGACAGGGATACACAAAGAGGAGATGTGCTGGAGAAGAACAACAGAATGAAGCAATTGGAGTATCACTGTTGCATTTGTGTTTCTCCTTTCAGCAACTGTGAACTGCTATGTCAGTAAATCACATGATCAGTATTGCGTTCATATGGTTCTCCTGTCCAGTTCAGACCATCTGTTGTTTTATTTAAAATAAGAACAGATCAAACCTGGACTCTTTGGTTGCATCTACACAGCACCCTTAGATTGAAATAAGCTATGCAATTTGTGCTACGCAAATTGCATAGCTTATTTTGATGCTATTTTGAAACAGTTTATTTCGTATTTTAGTGCTGTCTTCACAGTGCCAAATGTCAAAATAACTCGCTATTCTAGAATTGCCCTTAAGCCTCATGGAAGGAGGTTACCAGGATGTCGGAATAAGCCACCCATTATTTTGAAATCTATTTTGAAATAACGGGCTGCTTCAATAGATGTGGATTTCCCTCGAGGAACACCAGAAACAGTATTCTATGAAAGTGCATGCTTTCTTGAGGCTGCTTCTCATGCATAGGGATAAGCAATCAAAACTATTCAGGAGGATGGATCTAGCTGCTCCCATTGGTATGTTAGTTCAACTCTGGATCAATGAGGGAGTGTCTTGGCCCAGGCTTCCTCTTCATGCCCTTTTCACTGGCTAGCTCCCTGGAGAAGTGGGAGAGAAACACAAAGACTTTTTACTGCCAGAGTGCACTGATGATCATGTGAGATGTACTGCAGCTGCAGAAAAGGGAGAGAAAAACTCTTGTGTTCACTCCTTTTCTCCTGCAAGTATGCTGAGGATGTCGCACAAAGAGTTTCTCCAAAACCATACATGCTGATGACAGCAATATATGTTGTGACCAGGAAGGTCAAAAGGCCTGTTAAAAGGGAAAAAGGGCAGCTGAGACAGGGCAGCTGCAAATTAATTAAGAGCCAGGAGAGCTGAATCAGGCTGCCATAGGGCCTCTTTAAAAAGTCTTCCCTAGGACAGTGAGGGGGAGAGAGAGTGAGAAGGAGCATGGAGAGGAGTAAAGGACCCAGTGATAAGGAGACTCAGAGCGGAGGAACCACTGGCCTGCTAAAGGCTACAGGGGGAGGTGAGGTGAGGTGAGGTGAGGTGTGGAGTAGGGAATGTTGGAGGGCTCCCTACCCCCACAGGGCTAGAAGAGGGCTTCCTGGTCAGCTGTGACTAGCCCAGGGCTTCAGCCCAATACACACTCCTTTATGCTGAGGGCCAGGAAGGCCCATCCAATACACAATCCTTTATGCTGAGGGCCAGGAAGGCCCAGGGATAAAAACTCTGCAGGCAAGGACCCTGCTGCAGCCCTTAAAGCGTGGGATAGTGGACAGAACCGGGGTCAGGGTTTCAGGAGGGAGGCTGACCTTGCCACAAGTAGTGGACGGAACCGGGGTCAGGGTTTCAGGAGGGAGGCTGACCTTGCCACAATGTGTTTTACTGAGAAACATTTTATGGGCAGAAATTGTCCCTGATGTCACTGAACTGAATTTTACATGGGCAGAATTTTGTGCCCAGATACTTTCAAGACCTCGGTAAAGCTAAATGGGAGTGTTTGAAAACAACCAGTTTGCCTACAATAGCATGTCTGCAGAGACAGTTGTTCTGAGAGTTTCTTTGTATGACTTAGATCCTTTAAAAAAAGCTTGGGCTTCCAGTACTCAGCCAGCTTGCTCTGTGTGGTTGTGAGCACTTTAATATGACCCAGCTATCCCATTTCACCCTACTGTGGTACTCCAAAGCAGTCTCACTTGCTGCTGTGACACACACACCTTCTGGGTGTGATGTACTTCCCATCTAGTGGCACTGAGACCACTTACGGAGAGAATAATTAGTTTGCTCTGCAGGCTTAGCTAAGAGCCAGCCGGCTTTTTGCTTGTGCAGTAGAGGCTCATGCACTAAGCTCCAGAGATCCCAGATTTGATTCCGCTGCAGATGGCTGGGTCTGCTGACTTTACAGTGTGGCTTCTTCCTCAGACCTTTGCTGACCCTACCATCCCCGTGCACCCTCCTTCTCTTGCTAGTCAGATAATCTTTTCCTACTCCCTCCCCTTGTAGTTTTCCATTGTCAGGCAGGGATAGGCGCCAGGGAGTCTTCATACCCATTATCTTCTGAAGCTGCTGGTTCCCTCCCTCCATAATGGATGGAATATTTGGATTCAGGTTTGATATCTGCAAAATACCAATAATCCCCATTTGTTACCTGATGCTTATCCATGTCTGTGTGTCGCTGACACTTTCCTTGAGGCAATGAGTCCAGAAAAATCTTAGCTCTGAAGTTACAGCCCCAACAGAAAAGGGGATTGGAGGACCACCCTTTCAGCAACTAAAGAGTTTGCGTTAATCAAGAGTGTCCTCGCAATTATTTCATAGTCATTAATGCCCATTCCAATCCAAAGCAAAGTTGAGCAAACCTCCCTCCAGCCAAAGCACTTACAGTCTCTCTTTCTCTTGCTGTTCTTTGAGGATTTTGTTAGTCTCTAATGCAAGCCGCTTCTGGTGCATTAACTCCTGGCGCTCCTGCTCGTGAAGACTTGCCTCTCGCTGCTTTTCTGCCTCAGTCATGAACAGCTCTCTCCCCTGCAATCACAGCATAAAAACACATTTGTCACGAGAAATCCAATTCATTTATTTCCCCTAAAAACACAACCCACCCACCTCCAAAGCTGCTACCAGAAATGTACATTTCATTGCTTCCTCCCCTCACATCTACCAACTAACACCTCCTGTAACACTGTTTCCACATAGCAATGATCCAAGGTGTCTGGTCTGTAAGGGATGTGGATCCCAATCTGTGATGTGCTGAGCACTTCCGACATAGTGCTAGGCACCCTCATAGCCTAGTCAGACTTCCTCTGCATCATCCAAGAGAAAGCCCCCTACACTTTTTTCAATACCACTTATTTTACTTTATAATAGGATTATGAATGCAGAGTAGTGAAACACATCCATTCTTACACCTGCTTTCTATTACTGCCTACCCAAATAGTGTGAGGGCAGCATCAGAGGAGTTATGCCCAAGTGGATGTGCAAACATCACTATCTCAGTATGAGTAAGAACAGGAGTAGGAAACCAGGCTAGTCACATCATCTTGTCTGTTTCTTTTGTTCTTTTTCAAATTTATGGTTCAATTAAAACATATTGACTATTTTCATCTAACAGCAACGGGGATAACATAATGGAGCTGTCTGATGGGGGCCCTTTGTGACTGATGTGGAAATCTCATAAAGTCTATAGGCTACGTCTATACTGGCATGATTTTCCAGAAATGCTTTTAACGGAAAAGTTTTCCATTAAAAGCATTTTCAGAACAGAGTGTCTAGATTGGCATGGACATTTTTCCGCAAAAGCACTTTTTGCGGAAAAGCGTCCGTGGCCAATCTAGACGCGTTTTTGCGCAAAAAAGCCCCGATTGCCATTTTCACGATCGGGACTTTTTGCGAAAAAAAAATCTGAGCTGTCTACACTGGCCCTTTTGCGCAAAAGCTTTGCACAAAAGGGACTTTTGCCCGAATGGGAGCAGCATAGTATTTCCGCAAAAAGCACTGATTTCAGACACTATGAAGTCAGTGCTTTTGCGGAAATTCAAGCGGCCAGTGTAGACAGCTGGCAAGTTTTTCTGGAAAAGCGGCTGATTTTCTGGAAAAACTGGCCAAGAAAAACTGGCCAGTCTAGACACAACTTATGAGTCTAAGGTCAGAAGGGACCGTTATGATCATCTAGTCTGACCCCCTGCACAATGCAGGCTACAGAATCTCACCCACCCACTCCTGGAATAATCCTCTCACCTATATCTCAGATATTGAAGCCTTCAAATGATGGTTTAAAGACCCCCAAGATGCGGAGAATCCTCCAGCAATGATCCGTGCCCCACGCTACAGAGGAAGGCGAAAAACCTCCAGGGCCTCAGCCAATCTACCCTGGAGGAAAATTTCTTCCCGACCCCAAATATGGCGATCAGCTGAACCCTGAGCATGTGGGCAAGACTCACCAGCCAGACACCCAGGAAAAGTTCCCTATAGTAACTCCTATCATCCTATAGTAACTCCTGCAAAGTCAATGAAAAATTCTAATTGTATTAAGATTATGTATTATGACAGGGGTGGGCAATAATTTTTGGTGGGGGGGGCCACTCCAAGATTTTGGGAAGTGGTCAAGGGCTGCACTTTTTTGTGGAGGAGATGTGGGGTCTAAGATGGAGGTTGGGTGCAGAAGGGCGTATGGGGTAAGGGACTGGGATGCAGGAGATGGTGTGGGGTCTGAGAGGGTGTTTGGGTGTAGGAGAGGATTCTTGCCTGGGGGAAGTACAGGGCCTGGGAGGGGGTTGTGACCTGGGGCAGGGGGGTGCAGAGGGTTTCGATGGTGACCTAGGGAAGAGAGTTGGGGGGCAGGAGGGGCAGGGGTGCCAGAAGCAGGCTTTGACTGGCAGGCACTCAGGAGCATACTGGCAATCAAAATAGGACCGGGAAATGGGTTGAGAATGGCCCTCCCCATGACATCACCCCTGCGTGCCCCTCAAGCCCTGCCCCCTGCGTCATGTCCGGCATGCAGCGCAGGTGGCGGGTCGGACTCTGCATGCCGCATACAGAGTGGACGCGGAGCCACTCAGAGTGAGGGGCAACGGCATGCGGACATGACGGCCCACCAGAAAATTCCCAGTATCCTGCCGGGTCAGTCCACCCCTGCAGGTGCTTACCTAAGTGTCTCCCAGCCAGCAGCCTTGCAGTACCCCCAAGGCAGGCTGGACTCTCTTCCTGCTGCAGCCCAGACTACTTGAAACTTCAGGCTGCTCCCTCCACGTGGCTCTCAGCTCCAGGAGAGGGGAAAGGCTTGCGTTGCTCCCATCCCTCAGCCAATCTCTCAGCTCCAATTGGTTCACTGTTTCCAACCAATAGGAGCTGAGGAATGGACTGGGGCTGGGAGATCACACAAAGCCTTCTCCTACCTGAAAAGCAGATTACTGCACGTACTGCACTTTAAAGCTCTGCACTTTAAACCCGGCAGTGTCGTCTATGGGCCTGATCCAGAGGCTTGGCAGGCCAGATCCGTCCCCCCGGGCTGTATTTTGCCCAGCCCTGTATTATGAGGAGTGCGTGCAACCTATCTGGGGGGAGATATGACAAACATTGCAACCCCAAACTGTGTCTGTTAGGCTAATTGTTTTAAATGTTTTGTTTAATTGCTTTAAATGGCTGGTTAAACAGGATTGTGCTCTACTCCAGGGGACAGATCTTCCAGGAACTAGAAACAGTAGCTGCGGTTAAGATAAATCAGCCAGATTGTAACCCTGCCTTGAGAGAAACCAGCTCTGGGCAGAATTGCATAGGCTCGTTCAAACTAGGTTCTTCAGAGACCAACAGGCAAAGAAAAGACTTTTGGGCAAGTAACTTGAGTTTAAACTGACTCAGCACCTTCTTTCTGATCCCAGACACAGGGCCTGCTATCCTGGGGACCTTCTAGTCTTTGCAGAATGGTTGGAAGAACCTGACCTATTTTTGACCACATATCTGATGGCTGACCTCTGGTACGGTTTTAGCACACATACAGGTTTGAGGGAGATAGTTCATTGTAAACCAGAGAGCTGTGCAGCCTTAAAAATCCTGATCAGAAAAGAGTGAGACATGGATCTCTGCCCAGGAGAGGTGATGGCTAAGAGTGGGGAGCCTAAAGTGAGTACCTTTGGTGGACCACAGAGGGAAATACAGGTGCAGTTGCCTTGAATCTGTGTGCTCTTGAATAGTCAAAGTCTGGGATTGCTTCAATGAAAAATACATATTAATTACGAGAGCTGGAGTCTCCATTTCACTCAGGCTCAAAGTAAATGGGGTCTGGAGAACAAACAGCCAGTAGAGAATTTACCATAGCTCCTGCGACAGCTTCCCCTCACCCCTATAACAGGGTGTGTGTCATGACACATGGCATGCCAGGGGCAGAGGTAAGGTGTAGCAGAGCAAAGATCCACTACATAAAGAACCTAATGCCAATGGCATAAAAGTTAGAATAGGTCCATAGCACCTCCAGTACTAGATGTAACTAGCTCCTTATGCCCCAGACCCGGCTGTTGAGAATCCAGACAGGAATGCTTATTTAAATGAAGTTTACAAGGCCACTGGATGATTATATTTAGTAGGATAAAAGTGAGTTATTTGTATAAATCCCCATGTCTTCAGATGAGGCTACTATCCATAAATGTTTGATGGCCTGATCTTTCAAATGAGGATTAATTGCTTCCTTCTATACGTAGAAAAATTAAATGGAACCTAAGCACGGAAAGCTAGCCAGACACATGTAATTGATTATAGCATTTAATTCATAACTAGAGATGACACAGGAGAAGTATGCTGTGAACACTGCTGTTCATAAGGATCTGTTTCTTGTCATTGCTACAATGTGATGCCTCTTGCTGTCCATTGTATCAACCTACTGTCTCATCTTATACTTGCTCTGTAAGCTTTTTGGGGCAGAGACCATTTTTTGTATTTGTTTGTTCTGTGCCTAGGATAAAAGGGCACAGGGGCCCTAGACAGTATCACAATACAACTAAACAACAATAAATCTATTGTGCATTTGGGTCTCCATGGTGAATGAAACCTTTAGTATTTTAATTCTAAAAGACTGTACCTATAATGCATAAATATACACACACCCCATTTCTCTCATCGACCTCCCATAGTGAGGCCACCCCAGAAATTCAGTTTAGGGTATGTTGACTCTAGCTATGCAGTTCTCGTAGCTAGATTTACGTATCTTGAGTCAAATGTCTGGCATAGTGTAGACCTGGCCTAAGTTAATTATATAGGGTATGTCTACACTACCCCCCTAGTTCGAACTAGGGGGGGTAATGTAGTCATACGGAGTTGCAAATGAAGCCCGGGATTTGAATTTCCTGGGCTCCATTTGCATAAAGCCGTCCGGCGCTATTTTTAAATGCCGGCTAGTTCGGACCCTGTGCCTCGTGGAACGAGGTGTACAGCTAGTTCGGATTAGGAAGCCTAATCCGAACTAGCTAGTCCGTGCCGCGTGTAGCCACGCGGCATGGGGTCCGAACTAGCCGGCATTTAAAAATGGCACCGGCCGACTTTATGCAAATGAAGCCCGGGAAATTCAAATCCCGAGCTTCATTTGCAACTCCGCATGACTACATTACCCCCCCTTAGTTTGAACTAGAGGGGTAGAGTAGACATACCCATAGAGAGTATCTGGTTCTCCTACAAATGACATGTACTTTCTGGTTATTCATAAATATTTCCAGTGCTTAAAACATCAGAGAGTTTAGAAGTGTACATCTAAAATAGCTTTTTAGCTTTCATGAGAATATTTTATGCAAAATCATTTTGCATGAAGCAGAGCATAAAGCCTATTCCCCACTGTGCATGGCCAAATACTAAAGGCTAAATATCGGAAATATGTTCAGAGAGTAGTTATACAACAGATGGATTTCACCCTACTATGCTCCAGGAAGTATGATACACTCCAAAGTGGACTGCATTTTAATTGTGTACATGCTTATGCTGGTAGGGGATTGAGGTGACTAATCTAATAGTTCCTCCCTGCCCATCTCTAATTTCCAAGGTTTTTTGTGATTTTTATGACCAGTGAGAGTAAAATTTGATTATGCAATGGGCCAAATGTTAACACTATGTGCCATCTATATTTGCAAAAACCTGCATTTCCTCATGCATATTTGTTTGTTCAGTTGGGCACTGACCATGCACAGCTGCCCTTTGATGTCTTTGGACACATCAGTTCATTTCCATATGAACCATTTTTTGGCTTTGCCCTCATAACTATCCTCTTTTAGTCCTCCCTCAAACAATCATTCACCTAAGTGCTGTTCTTCAAAATTATGTCAATGGAGAGACTGAGAAAAAAACAGAACAAACTTTTCAAGTCCTGAAATGGCAAGAAAAACATTTTAGTTTGGTACTCTGATTTGTTGAATGTTGTTTTGTATAACGTGCAAAGGTAATAATGCTCTTGGGAATGAAGAATATCAGCAATAACTGGTTTCTGTTGTTATCAAAGGCATGTAAACAGCCAAAGAATATGATTTATTGCATTGAATGTTTATGCTATGAACATTAGCCCTTAGATACTGTACTAGATGTTGTTTTCCTTATTTATTTTAGCTGTGCAAGAACTGGTTACAAGTAAATATTAAGGGTGATATCCTGCATTTGATCTGCAGGTTACATCAGTATTGTATTGTATGGGGCCCTAAAGTTTACTCTAAAAGGGTTTAAACCAGAGGTCCTCACACTGTGGGGCAGGCCCCCCTAGCGGGGCAAGGAGGAACATTCAGGGAGCCATGGAGGGGCCTGGGCCAGCCCCCATGGGGTTAGGGAGGGAGTATCCAGCCATGCTCTGGCCCAGCTCCTCTGCAGCCCCTGGCTCCCAGTCCTGACCTTGGTTCTGCGTCCTGCTCTGCGTCCTCACCACAACTCCCCAGTTGCGGCTCGGCCCCTGGCCACAGTTCTTGGCTGTGGCTCCTGAGGGGGCACCGATGGATTCTATTACTGGTAAGGGGAGCGTGACAGAAAATGTTTGAGAACCAACTAGTTTAAACAGTAGAACAATAACTCCAATCCTATCCAAGTCAATGGAAATATTCCAATATCAGTAGACTTTGGATCAAGCCCTAAAGGAATGCAATACTCTTGTACAAACATTAGAAGTGGCACACTATGAAACAAAGGACTGAATTTATTTCCAATGCAATATATTTACAGAAGGAAATAACTGGCCTGGGAGTTAGAGACTCCTAAATACTTCATCTATTTCTAAGGGGAAAGGGGGGAAAAATATGTTGGCTCCTATCCAATTATCTTTCTTGTTTCAGCATGATAATTCATTTACGAAAATGTACCTTTCTTGAGTGGGAGGCAGTTTGACTCATGACTCAATCTTGTACTCACTTACATCAATGTTTTTGCCATTGGTAAGTACATGGGAACAGGCGCAGAGTCCCACTGTTTGCTGCTAGCGAATACTTTGCACAATTCTCAAACAAATAGTTAAAAAACTATTCCAAGCTATGCTAGCTTGGCCAAATGTAGCAGTGCAAAGCAAATGCAGAGACCATACCGAGGATTAGATATGAACTGGCTTAAGTCCTGTCTGTATCCCAGCAGACCTCAGCACAGCTCTGGAGCAAGGAGTGCAAAGGTGGCTTTCAGTACCCTGACCTTGGGGCTGTCAAGCTCCTGGCCTGGTCCTCAGCATAAAGAAGAAAAGCCTGTGGCTTGATCTGTTTTACATTGGCTATGCAGCCACTAAGGGCTGCTCCACCCCAGGGATGACCAGGAAGAGGGGGATACTGGTTGCATCCTCTTTCCCCTACAATGAGAAGTAACATAGGAGTCATTATTGTAGTTCTGCACTAGCAGAGGATTTCCGAAACTGAGACTTCTCAATGGATCAATGAAGCTGGCTTAAAAGGCAATAAAACAGCACAAAGCATCCTCAGTAGTCTAGAACATGTGGCCCATGAAGGCGAGGGGGGAGAGCTAGCTAGCACCACTCTCCTGGAAGGGGCAGTTCCTCAGGCATAAGGGGTGGGGCCAGTAGCAGCCGTCCTCCACATCACCCAGAATGCAGCGTGGCATGGCGCTCTGGCACTTAATGATTTAAAGGGCCTGGGGCACCAGCTGCCACCTCTGCTGCAATAGCAGTGCCGGCAGCCAGGAGCCCTAGGCTTCTTTGAATCGCCACTGCCCCCCTGTCAGCAGGCTGCCATGGAGGTCACTAGTTTTTTACCACTGCCTTCAGCAAATTTACTTGTGATCTACACCAGAGTGAGAGAGCACCTGATGTTACTGACTTCAGTAGATTTACACTGGTACGAGTGCAACATCTGACCCATTCTCTTGCTATTAATTTGATTTAGTGTTTTAGCTGTACTCTCTGCTTGCAAAAATGCATTTGATTTTTATTATCAGGCTCTTTTAGAGACTTGGAGCCAAAGACTATTGAAGTGTATGGGAAGGTTCCTGTTGATTTTAATTGGCTTTGGATCAGGGATTCAACAGGGGAACACGAAGTTATGTTGAAACCAAGACTATTGTATTATTTATTATCGACAACAGTGTCTATTTAATTTTTCACATGGCTTCTACTTTGATGGGTTCATTACTTACAGCTCCTGCTACAACAGAGATTGTTAGGGTTCGACTGCTTTTTAGCACTCTGACAGCCTACAAAAACAAAGTGAAAATGTCAGTTTGAGTGTAAAAATGTTACACATTTAAAGAAGAAACAAAATAAAGTAGTATAGTTTCCCTGCTCAGAGTTTCATAGATTTCAAGGTCAGAAGGGACCATTAGATCATCTTTTCTGACCTCATGCATAACACAGGCCACAGAATTTCATCCAATTGCCCCTGTATTGAGCCAGATAACTTGTTTGTCTAAAAGTTTCAGAGGGGTAGCTGTATTAGCCTGTAACTGAAAAAAAAAACCTTTAAAAACAACAACAAATAGTTCTGCCGCACCTTAGAAACTAACAAAAAACATAGATGGTAGCATGAGCTTTCTTGGGCACAATGAAGTGGGTTGTACCCAGGAAAGCTCATGATACCATCGACATTTTTTGTTAGTCTCTAAGATGCTGCAGAACTATTCTTTGTTTGTCTAAAGTATCTTGTCCAGAAAGGCATCCAAGTCTTGATTTGAAGACAACAGGAGATGAAGAATTCACCACTTCCTTGGGGAAATACCACCAGTGTTAAAAATGTGATTCTCGTTCCGAGCTTGAATTTGTCTGGCATTATCTTCTAGCTATTGGCTCTTGCTATGCTTTTCTCCACCAGGCGAAAGAGCCCTTTAGTATCCAGTATTTGCTCATCACGGTGGTACTTATCACCAACTCATCTCTTGATCTTTTTGATCAGATAAAGAGATTGAGCTCCCCTCCAGCCCTACCTCTGCTCCCTCCCACCCCATCTCCACTTTGCTGCACAGGAAAGTTGGGAAGTGAGCTAGGCTGTGATTTTTAAGTAGACTACTGAATTTTTTTTCAATGAGAGCTGAGTGGCTAAACCTTCCATAAATCCATTTGAAAATCCCAATCTGAATTTATAAGTTCCCAGCCCTAAAAAGATGGCATTACCTGGGCATCAGCACTTTTGGAGACAAGGCTAAGGCAGAAATTACACAATTTCTGGGAGCTCTCCATACATAGGACACTTAATTTAAATACAATACTGGGGCTAAATAGAAAACTCTTTTCCCACCTCTTTATGGTCCACAATATTAAAATCCACTCCATTTACTTCAACAATCTGATCACCAATCTAGAAGAAATAAATTAAACATAATGTATAATTCTTGGTTAAGAGTTTCCCTATACTTTTTCCCCCTCCCACTGAAAAAGGTTACCACAAAGGAATTCACCAATGGATCCCACATCACTGTGCAAAATTACTAAAAAATAAAATTATAACATCTCACTTGGAGCATAATACACTCACCTCCAGTCCCACCTCAGCAGAAATGGAGCCTGGTTTAATATTGCTGATAAAAATGCCTGGTTTTTGCGTTGGACCACTGGAAATGCTGGAGTAAGCAGAGAAAACAAAACGATAGAAGATAATATGAAGATGACATCACACTTGCTGAACCACTGTCTGCTTCGAGGTTAGGTATTTCTTGATATTTGCTTCCTCTATTTCTCACTGATTTTTGAAAAGCACATTGGGCCACAGCCTCAGTTTGTATAACTCACCATTGCTCACTGAAATCAGGGGAACTTTGTTAAATTACATCAGCTAGGGATATGTCTCACTGGATTGAATGTTATCACTACATCATCTAGTCCATCACCCTCAGGCCCTGACCAGTGCTGAACCAGAGAGTTTGCTGAACTATGGAAGGTCAGTATTGTCTAGTAGCATTACCAACACTTCCACAGCTTACTGGGCTCTTAAAAGACAGTGAAGGGTAAATTAAGAGCTACAAAACACAGAGTCAGGACTGCAATCAAACTTTATGGGACTGCGGGAATCTTGGCCACACCCATGATAAGTGGACATCTGAATAACTAAAATCATGAATGACCATGGATGTTGCCTGACCAGAGAGTGCCCAACTAGAGAATTTCTACCTGTACTGATAAAAATATTTTTAGCCAGATCCTTAACTGATATAAATTAGCACTGAAGTCAATGGAGCTCTATCAGTCTATGCCAGGTGAGCAGCTATTCTATATAAAACATGTTAGTGAACAAGTAATTGTTCACCTCTTCATTCAGGGTATTCAGAAGATGTACACTGTCACTCAACCATGTACCACATAATACCGTTCTTCAGAACGATGGACCAGATCAATAGGGAGTCAAACCTAGGAAACCTTCTCTATCCCATACTTCCAGGATAAAAATCCTCAAGTTGCAATTAGAAAAACATGTAGCCCACAAAAAGCAAAGTTTTCTGAAGCATGCTGTCTGACTGCTGATTCTCCAGCATCAGGCAGATGCTATACCTATCTCTCTAAGTCTGCACCCCGCTTTATTCCCTTAACGATTTGCTTGAAGTTGTTCAACATCTGGGCAGCAAATGAAACCTTGAAGTGTGCACAGAAATGTAATGCTGGTCAGCACAATGTGAATGCACATTGCATGGAAATGGTATTTTATCTTACAGCTCTAGCTAAGCAAAGATACAGAGATCTTCTGAATAAAGATAAGTACAAAAGACATAAAGGAACAGATTTACATAGTTATTTAGATGCAGACAGGCAAAGTCAATGGGAGTTAGGGGTCTAATAAATTACAGCGATTTGGAAAATTCCATTAGTGTGTAGCTGTATGTTAGGACATCTAAACATTTCTTTGTAATCTGGCCCAGAGTTCATATGGCAGAAGGCATCTTTCTTTACATAGTAATATATGGAACAGTAAAAAGAACACAATGTTTTTTCTAAACAATAAAAAGTACAATAACCAAAAATATGAAGTAATATGATAGTTTCCTCCTACAATCCTTTAATGTCTATTACTAATTAGAATAGAACAAGCTGGAGAAATTACCATATTCAATGTTTTAAATAGCCCCCCATAAAGTCTGCACTGTTTCCTAAAAATAAACCAAGAAAAACAAAGAACACTTTGAATTAATAGAGTAGCAACTCCACATGATACCATAAAAATTACTTCCATGCACCATAAAAAGGCTTCATGGCCCATGGGTATTTTATTATAAGTATATGGTACATTTAAGGGAATATGATAAAGCATAAATGGTTACACTACGTCTACATGGTGGACCTGATTCCTCACTGACAACTGATTTATATTTGGGTAACTCCACTGATTTCAGAGTTGCTCCTGATTTACACAAGTATAAATAAAAGGAGAATCATGCCCAGTTATAATAGACATTTATTTTTTGCTGACTTTTTCCATCTGTGCAATGCTTTGACATAACACCTTATATTATCATTCTTTCTAATTCTCTGTTTTAAATTTTGTAAATCACACTCATAGAATGGGATGGTTCTTTTAAAAATAAATATTATGTTCTAATTACAGAGCCATTTTTATGGGGAATGAAAGACAAACCCCATGACTGTTGCTACCAGAATTTAAAAAATTAAGAATGTATAGCTCACGATCTATTATACCTCATATGTAAAGCAGCAGCAGTTAATGATCCCCCTAAAAATTAAGAATGTATAGCTCACAATCTATTATACCTCATGTAAAGCAGCAGCAGTTAATGATCCCCCCCCAGAGGCATAGTGAGGGTGTTATGCACCTGGGGGAAAAAGTAAAATTTGTGCCCCTCCCTGCTGCGTGGCCCCAAACCTGGCGCATGGCTGAATCTGACCCCGGGAGGAAGGGGGGGAGTTTGTACCGCATCTCCCTGCTGCGTGGCCCCAAACCTGGTGCATGGCTGAATCTGACCCTGGGAGGAAGGGGGGGAGTTTGTACCGCATCTTTCCACACCCCTCCAGTGTGGGGCCAGGCCCCCACACACACTAACCCTCCCCCCTGGCAGAGATGGAAGAAGGTGGGGCTGGGGGCAGAGTTTGGGGGCAGGGAGGAAGCTCCAGCCGGCGGCAGTGGGAGGAGGAGGATCTTTCCACACCCCTCCAGTGTGGGGCCAGGCCCCCACACACACTAACCCTCCCCCCTGGCAGAGATGGAAGAAGGTGGGGCTGGGGGCAGAGTTTGGGGGCGGGGAGGAAGCTCCAGCCGGCGGCGGTGGGTGGAGGAGGAGCAGGCGAGCTGAGGGATGATAGGGAGAGTGGAAGGGGACTAAATTGGCTCACCCCTAGCATGGCACTCAGGGCCAACTGTTCCCCTTCCCCTCTTCACTATGGCCCTGGACCCCCAATAATAAAAAACGATTCTTCTTAATTTGACAGGTGATCCCTGAACAATATTTGTCAGGATATGTGTACACTACAAGCTGGGGATGTAATTCCCAGCTCAAGGAGACATACCCACACTAGCTCTGATTGAGCTAAGTGTGCTAAAAACAGGAGGCCTGTGGCAATGTGCAGAGCTCAAGTGATAATTGCCCTATGTTCTCATATGAGACCCCCAGCACATACTCAGGGTAGCTTCTGCCACTATGGCTACACCCTATTTTTAGTACACTAGCTTGAACAGAGCTCACATGAATATTTCTCCTTGAGCATCCCCCAGCTTAAAGTGTAGGCATGCCCTTAAGCGTTACAAACAGTTGAGTGTATTTATTACATAAGAGCACAGAAGAGAATATTAAAATATATTAGGTATGGTACCGCTCTGGCTAAGAGCTGGTCTGCACACAAACTTGCACTAAAATAACGATATACGTTTTAATGTAGACCTTTTGTTTTTCAGTGCAAGTATGTGGGTAGTGAATAAAAGTGCCCTATTTTCATTGTTTAAGTCATTTTTTTAAAAAGAGTAAATTGAGACCAAGTGAATAATTCTAGTGCCAAAATGAGGATGGAGATCTTTGGAAAAAATGAGTAACGTTATGAAGAATGCTGCAAGAAAGCTGTGATTTTTTTTTTTTTTGGTTCAAAAGTTGCCGCCACAGTTTTTAAAGTTATGGCTATGGTACATTCTTCCAAGGCATGTAGCCTGCTTGCTAAGAGATGCTCTGTGTCCTGCTTAGCTCTGAAAGACAGAAGGAGGGGCAATTGGGCCAAATTTGAATGGCAGTGTGACTCTGAAGCAGGACAATGAAATAAATGGCACTCAGAAACTTTTGAAAATTTCGCCAGGCACTTATCTGTATCTTATCTTTAGAGGTGTAGATACCTTTTAATAAAACCTGGCCTTATGCACCTAAATAAGGGTATGTCTACACTGCCACCCTAATTCGAACTAGGGAGGCTAATGTAGGCATTCGAAGTTGCAAATGAAGCCCGGGATTTAAATATCCCGGGCTTCATTTGCATCTTGCCGGGCGCCGCCATTTTTAAATCCCCCTTAGTGCAGACTCCGTGCCCGCAGCTACATGCGGCACGGAGTAGGTAGTTCGAATTAGGCTCTCTAATTCGAACTACCGTTACTTCTCGTGGAGCAAGGTGTACCGGTAGTTCGAATTAGAGAGCCTAATTTGAACTACCTACTCCGTGCCGCGTATAGCTGCGAGCACGGAGTCCGCACTAAGGGGGATTTAAAAATGACGGCGCCCGGCAAGATGCAAATGAAGCCCGGGATATTTAAATCCCGGGCTTCATTTGCAACTTCGAATGCCTACATTAGCCACCCTAGTTCGAACTAGGGTGGCAGTGTAGACATACCCTAATTTAGTTGCTAGACTAAGTCATGTAAATGCTTATTAAAATTTTACCCTTTGACACATACATTCTCAATAAAAAATAATTCTTTTATTTTGATTTAAAGGAGACTAAAAGGAAAAAAGTTCCTACACCATGTCCTATGTGTCTTTTATGAAATAAGCTGGTCACACTTTCCCATTTTGAACATGGCTAAATGCAGATCAACAGTAATTCTTCTGTAGTGACTTAAAGATGCATCTAACTGGAGGTTCAGAATCTGGCAAGTAGACATTTATGCTGCAGTATTTTATGTTAAAACAGCACTTTGTGCAAAGATATCACATCTTTGACACTACACAATTAGGAATGCAAACAAAACCCATGCTGCATTTCTCACTCCACAAACTACTACTGTTTTTTCCAAGCAATATTAAATGGGACTCATCCACTCACCTGCATCCCATGCCCTTTGAACCAATCAAACTAATGAAGACTTTCTTCTCTTTATTGTCCCTTCCTACAGATGAAGCAAGTCCAGCAACACTGTATTTTCCTTCCTATAGCAAAAGAAAGAGAAAAAGAGTACAGGAGAAATCCTGGCTCCACTGAAGCCAATAGTAAAAATTCCACTGATTTCAATTAATCATGATTTCACCCTACATATTTCTAAGTTACATTGTCATGTAGTCCACATTCAGCCCCAGTGGGAGGAGCAAATAAAATTACTTCAAACACATTGTTCCAGCACTGAATTTAACTCCTTATTTATTCAGCGAGGATTTTCACAATAGATGAAATACATCTCATAAGGAAAGTGGAAAAAAAGTAAAGCAAGGACGTAAGAGAAAAATTTCTATCACATTTTCTGTATTACTGATTTTAGAGCTTTTTATTTTCATATTTGTCTGCTAAACTGTAACAGTCTATTTACCAAGTGCTCATAGAATCACAGAACCGGAAGAGAACTTGAGAGATCATCAAGTCTAGTCCCCAGCCCTCACAGCCGGACCACCATCTAAATCATCCTTTATAGATGTCTACCCAACTTGATCTTAAATATCTCCATTGATGGAGATTCCACAAACTCCCTAGGCAATTTATTCCCATATTTAACCACCCTGACAGTTGGGAAGTTCTTCCTAATGTCCAACCTAAACCTCCTTTGATCCAGTTTAAGCCCATTATTTCTTGTCCTATCATCACCAGAACATCTGAACAAAAATGTACAAAAGTCTAAATTTTCCAGGAGTAATTAGTGACATTGGGCGTTAATTTGAGACCTCCCAAAAGGGCTGATTTTCATAAAGGCTGAGCATATGCCTTCTGAAAATGCAGGCTCCTTTAAAAGCCATCTCAATTTGGGCACCCACAAGTGAAGACAATCAAAATCGCAAGTTACTCTAAAAAAATTAAGTGATGCTATTTAGCTATGTTTTAGAACTATCAACCTCATCCAGGTCCCATTGAAGATAATGGAAGCTACTTCTACTGACCAAGGTAGAAAAGGGATAAGGCTATATATGAGCCCTGTAGGAGGACATTAACAGTTGTTTCAGATTTCACTTACCAGGTGTTTTGACCATAAATCACTCAAAAAGATAAGTGCAGAAGGGGACAAAGTAAATTAAAAATCATGAAATGTTCCCAGAGAGCTAAATATTTGGTGTCTTACCCCAGAATCTGACACAAATTGATCCACAAATTGCCACTTCAGAGGCTCATCGGGCGAGCTAGAATAAAACAAATCAATTAACCAAAATGCAAAATAGTTAACTATGAGGAAAATGATTTAAAAATTATGAGTACATTGAATGTGGCCTCAACTCAGCTTTATATTTTGCATCCAAACATAAATATAGGTGCTATTGATAAAGATTTATATTGATTTTGTAGTCAAAAGAACTTCAGGTAAATATGCAATAATATACATTAATGCAGATGAAAGTAGAACTGTTTTTAAAAGACCCTGTACATAATTTAGCAAACTTTTTGAAAAAATTATTGGCTTTTGGAAATGTTTTTAGAGAAATAAAAAAAGCTTAACCTGTTATACAGTGAGTCAAAAAATCTCTCAAAAAACTTAAACATTTTTATCAAAAAATTTCAGTTATTCCCAAACCCACCACTGAAATTCAAATTTTCTACAAAAGTCATCATCAAAACTTCAGCTAGCTTTAGTCAGAGGCAGCTTCTAAAAGAGAACCCTTGAAAGTTAGGAAAATGCAAGGACCCTGGAGTACTCTGCTAAGTGAATTTGGTGATAGAATTTGCATGAGTTCAAGACTGATTCCACTGATAACGCAAAAAGATAAGCTTGCTTATTTCAGACAGGAATCTCATGCATCAAATGAGGCAGTCTCCTGCCAGATTAGCCAACGTGTAGCATTTTAATAATTGGTAAAATTGGCCATTATCAGCTTTGAAGGATATGAATGGTAGATAAGAGATTAAGAGGAAATGAACAATCCAATTTGAACATTGATTATTAATTTAGGAAAGCACCTCACTAGGTTTACCTTTTGACAGGTATCATGCCGACATCTGCAAAAGAAAATATGTCAAATAAATCTTCCTGAAGATCATGAATTAGCTAACAAAGCATTCTCTCTGTCAATGTGAATTTTGCATTACTTACGTCTTACTTTTATGGACACTATTTTCTTTGTGCGGATGAGATTTATTACCTCTTCATGAGTGCATGAAGCGATGGAGTATCCATTTATCCGAACTATCTCATCTCCAACCTTAGAAGTAAGAAACAGAATTAAAATCTGTTATTTGATTTATTTACAAAGAGATCAGTGTAGAAAATTCTCAAAGCAACTTGTGTAAACTGACAATCTCCTTGATGCAGAGGTCATGTGGCTAGGAAAAGAAATGATTTAGATAGACAGCAGAATACTCTGAATACCTCTAGAGTCTCAAGTAAAGTCCAGAGTAAGATTTCTTTAATTGAGATCGGTTGTAAAATGATATGTAAAGGCCAGAATGCTAAATATTTTTTCAGAAAAATGTCTCATGAAAGATGATGCAGACTGGTTTGTACAGGTCAAAGGTTTTGTTACGTGGGTTTTATGAAACAAAAGCATCATTGTATGCAGTATTTTATTTAAATTGATCCCAAATCCAAATTTGCCTTTATATTTTCCTGAAGTTGATTATAAATATCTTCTCTGCTTTTGATGGTTACCAACCAAATTTGATCAGATGAGCAGGGCTTGATTATATGTCTGAGAACAATGCATTCTTTCAGTGGACTGTAGCCCCGTTTTGAACATAACTTCTTATCAGTTATGGTTGTTGCACAGTGCTTGTTAATGTAATGAGACGAATGCACCATGGATATAAACGCTCTTGTTTCTCAGGCCATCTGGATTAGTCAAGAAAATCACACACGGAAATGCCATTAGACGATACATGTAATCAGCATAGCAAACTCCTCCTTCTGCGTTTATTCTTCTTAAGGAGGTGAGATTTCAACCCTGTTGCAGTCTTGTAGGCTGTATTGTCCCATTTGCCACAAAGTATAGAAAGAAGCAAAGAAACAGAAAACTTAGCCAAACGTGGTAAAAAATCATGGAGGGAAGATTACCACCAGCTACAAGCAGGGGCAGCCCGTGACTATAGGCCAACTCAGCCGTCGCCTAAGGTACCGCCTTCAATGGGGCGCCCAATGATGACATCATGGGGCGCCCAGGACGCCCGATGATGACGTCACTCCACCGATGACTGTCCAGGCCGGGGTGCCAATCGCGCGTTCCACCTGGGGCGCCAGCTGCCACAGCCTGCCTCGGACCGCTCCTGGCTACAAAACATGTTCCCTTCTGTTCCCTAAGCCTGCATAGGCACCTGCATGCACATACAGGGTTTGTCTAGATTACATGCCTCTGTCGACAGAGGCATGTAAAATAGGCTACCCGACATAGTCAATTAAGCTGGGATTTAAATATCCCCGGCTTCATTAAAATAAAAATGGCCACCACGCTGTGCCAGCTCAGCTGATCGTTGGCACAGCACATGAGTCAAGACTCAGATCAGTAGACAAGGGAAGCCTTTGTCGACCACTCCTGTAAACTTTGTTCCACAAGGCATAATGGAGCGGTCAACAAAGGCTTCCCTTGTCAACTGATCCACATCTTGACTTGCACACTGTGCCAGCGATCAGCTGAGCCGGCACAGTGTGGCGGCCATTTTTATTTTCATGAAGCCGGGGATATTTAAATCCCAGCTTCACTGATTATGTCGGGTAGCCTATTTTACATGCCTCTGTCGGCAGAGGCATGTAATCTAGACATACCCACCGTGAAAGCTTTGTTATCCAGCACTCGTGGGGAATGAGGGTTGCTGGTTAACTGAATGTGCCGGATAACAAAGTTTACTGCTCTGTCCCTGCCCCCACTGGCAGATCTAGCTCCTGGCAGCTCGAGGCAGGTCGAGTGAGAAGGAGGGTCCTGCTGCTACTATCAGCTGGAAAGGTCTGTCAGAAGTCCCGCAATGGCTGGCCGGACAGGCATGTACGGCTGAAGACATGGCAGTATTGTGGCTGGGGGCAATGCTAGTTAACAAAGTTTTCTAGTTAACAGTGTGACTGATAACAAAGCTTTCACTGTAATTTATAAAAAGTAAACTGGAGGAAGGCCAGCCAGGGAGCAGCTACTCTATATAGCACACTCCCCTGGTTACCCCTAAGCAAAACTCAGTTGAAGTCACTGTTATCAAGGACATGTCTATACTACCCACTAGATGGATGGGCAGCGATTGATCCAATGAGTTTGATTTATGGCATCTAGTATAGACCTGATAAATTAATCACTGAGCACTCTCCTGGCAAATCCACCTGAACAAGAAGCAGGAGAGCATCTGCCATTGACTCACCACAGCAAAAACACTGCTGTAAGCAGATCTAAGTACATCAACTTCAGCTACGTGATTCATGTAGCTACAGTTGTGTAACTTAGATCAATGGCCCATTACAGTGTAGAGTAGGCCTAAGAATAACACAAATTCTGACTTTGCATTTTACCCCATTAGGAGATAGAACCCATGGAAAGGCTTACATCCCATGAGGCTAACAAGCTGGTGGACTGGGGGCTGGGATTCTTAACAGAGCCACTTGCTCTTTGCAAGTGCCCAGCTAGATTCCCCGGTCCTCTCTAAAGTAACTTGTACACAACTTCTCTGTCCCCTGATCCTGGTCTTCTCCTCAGTCCCACCACCGTCACTGGGAGGTGTAACAAACTGAGATTCAACTCATGGAATTGACAGCTTTGGTCTTCCTTTTCTTTCCAGGAGTGGGTGATTTGGAGTGCTGATTCTGACATGTTGAAATTTATTTTTGTTCCTAATTAGAATGAAGAGAAAACTTTTTCACAAATTTCCTATAAAATAAAATCCCTACTCTCTCAAATGTTGTTTGTTTTGGATCAATTGAAACAGTTAGTTCTGACAACATTATTTTTTATTTCAATTTTTATATTATAACTAGCCAATTAGCCCATCATAAGACGGGATTTTCAGGTCTCTCCTTCACGTCGGTCTTCTCTCCTGAGCCTCCAGTCTCTCGCTCCATCTCCTCTCTCCTCCTCCTACTGCCCCCTCTTCCCCTCAGCTCTCCTTCACCACCTTCTGCCTCTCTCTCCAGCTCTCTTTCTCTTCTCTCCCTCCTGCCTCTCAATCTCTCTCCGCTCTCCTCTGTCTCCGTCAGGGATGCGCGCTCATCCAGGCCCTGCCTCCTGGGCGTGTATGTCACCGCCCTGTTCCCCTTCGCCACCCGCCGTGGCACTTGGCTGACTTCTGCACCACTCAGCCAGGCTGCCACGTGGGAGCAAGCAGCACAAATGGTTTCTCTCTCTCTTCCAGGTCCCGCCCCCTGGCTGTTCCCTCTGGGTGGCGCGGTTTCTCTCTCTCTTCCAGGTCCCACCCCCTGGCTGTTCCCTCTGGGTGGCGCTGTTGCCTCCCCCCATGGCGCTCGGCTGACTTCTGGGCTGCTCAGCCAGGCCGCCATGTGGGAGCAAGCTGCACAAGCAGCTGTTTGAGTCCCACGCGCACCATGCTGCATGGAGAGTGCGGACCCCAAACAGACACTTGCACTGCTCGCTCCCGCACGGCAGCCCAGCTGAGTGGCACAGAAGTCAGCCGAGTGCCATGGGGGGAGGCAACGGCACCGCCCAGAGGGAACAGACAGCGTTTCAGCATTACAGAGTCACAGACATTGGGCTACTATATATATGATGTTAAATAAGAATTTCATAATATAATAAAATACATTTTAAATCAACAAAGTTGTTTTGAATAAAAATGTCAAAATGTTTTGTTCTTATATGATCAAAACAGAACATTTTAACCTTATCAGAAAACTTCTTTTGAAATTTTTTTCAAACAAAATTTGATCTGAGTCAAATGTTTTCGCAAAAAGTTTTTATTTCAGCTAAACAGCATTTTCCACTAGAAAACCATTCTATGGAAAAATATTCAGCCACCTCTATCACTAATGCAGAGCTATGTGAACATGATCAATTGCTACTGAATCACATCCACCCTTTTTCTGAATTTTAGCAGTCATCAAGTTGTCTTGGCTCTATTGTGGCTATTATGCAGTGTACTAATTCAGATTTCACTATATCCTTCATCTGTTGTTCACTGTTTTACTTCACTGAATCACCACCCACTTCTCTTGGCTCCCGGCTCACAGAGCTGCAAATCCTGCAGAAAGTGTCCTGCACAATTCTCTACCTTTCTTGCTTATGCATCCAAACATGGGTTTCATCATGCTTATTCACACTGAAACACATCTACTATGGCTAATTTCAAGGATAATGGAGTGTAAAGAATTTTCCTCTGTTTGATTCCTGGACCACTTCTATGCATGCCCTCCATTAACACTGTCCCATTAGGCAACTGCAAACTAATCTGCAAGTTAGGAGGGCATGCAAGTGACCATCAATAAATCTCAGAGGGGTAGCCGTGTCAGTTTGTATCTGTAAAAACAACGAGGAGTCCTGTGGCATCTTAAAGACTAACAGATTTATCTGTCCATAAGCTTTTGTCAGGTGCATTGGAGTGATTTTTAATCACAAAAGCTTATGCCCCAATACTTCAAGAAATGCTATACTGAAATTGGAAAAGGTTCAGAAAAGGGCAACAAAATGATTAGGGGTATGGGATGGCTTCCAGATGAGAAGAGATCTATAATACTGGGACTTTTCAGCTTGGGGAAGAAATGACTAAGGGGGACATGACTAAAGGGTCACCAAATGAATTCAATAGGCAGCGGGTTTAAAACAAACCAAAGGAAGTCTTTCTTCACACAACGTACAGTCAACCCGTGGGAACTTTTTTCCAGAGGATGTTGTGAAGGCCAAGGCTACAAAACAGTTCAGAAAGGAAATAGATACATACATGGAGGACAGGCCCATCAATGGCTATTAGGCAGGATGGCTAGGGAGGTGTTCTTAGCCCCGGGGTGGGCAATAAGCTGCCCACGGGCTGGACACAGTTCGCCAGGATTAGCTCTTGGTGGGACTCCACACACTATATTTTCCTGCACTTCTGCAGGGTATGGCTGCTCGCACCTCCCCTTGGCTGTAGTTCACCCTTCCCAGCCAATTAGAAGTATGGGAAGTGGTAGCTCAGACCAGTGTTTCTCAACCAGTGGTACGAGTACCTTTAGGAGTACTCGAGAGAAGTCTGGGGGGGTAAATCAACACCAGTGAAATTTGGAGAAAACTGAATTTTTGTGTTAAGT